TTATAGACAACCCCCGCTCCCCAATCATATGAAGCAATGCTGGGGCAGGCAGGTAGGACTTTCTCTTAGTGAGATAATGAGCATCTTCAGCTGAAAGCACCTACTTCACAAGACAATTGGTAAGTTAGTAAAAATACAGATTTTCCAAAAATGAAAAAACAAGAAAAAAATAGACAACTTTAGTTTAATCCTGCGGTGGTGTAACCAATACAGAGCTTAACTGTGTTTAATAAATGGCATTAAACAAGCTACCTCAATAAATCTTATATTGCAGATTAATAATGCCTTAGGGGATAATTTAGAGAAAATACCATATAGAAACCAATTATGCAACCATTTACAGACCACAAACACAAAACTAGAATCTGAGTCTTGCTGCTCTGATTAAAACCTTAACTGTCACACCATACTGGCTTGCACATAGACTGATTAGCAATAACTTTTGTTAGATTTATTTGAGGCACAAAGTTACCTAATTTTTTTTTAACTCCCCCATGGCCCATCTAAACATAAACACTAAATTTTACAGCACTTTTTGAATTCTAAAATGCTTACTTGCAAGGCAGTAATACAGGCAGAAATGGAAAAACATGCGGAAACTGGGCCTTCTAAATTGCAACAGAAACTACCTAGAGAATACAGATGGTAAGAGATAGCCTGACTCAGGTGACAGGCTCTCAAGAAAAATTCTTACTGGTCTGAACATGCCCATTAGGGTGTCACCATGCTTTAAATTAAACCAGCTTTTATATAAAGGGATTCCCTTGGATTGGCACCTTTGGTGTGGACTAAAAGAGCTATCACATGAATAATCTGACGATAGTTGAATTAAGTAAATTAATCAAGTTCTTGAAGAATTCTATACAAAATAAACAAGCAGTGCAGCACTGTCCAAGTCTACCATTAGATATTTCCACCAATCTATTCTTCAGCATTTCAAGGCCCGCAGCTCCAGACAAGTGGAAATGGTCCTCTTCCAGTCATAAGTTTCTCCCTCAACCCAGTCAACCTAAGAGAAATGGGGGGGTGGGGAAACTGGGCCACAGGCGATAACTTGCATCCTAACATGGACAGCACAGCAATTTAGCTTACCAGCTCCTCTAGACTCAAGGTGCAAATTAAAGCAGTTTATACTTGTACAGTAGCACTAAATTACCGACAGATGACAACTAACTTACCCCATTTTTATATAAAGGTATGTGTTTCATAAGATTATTGTTCAGTCATTCAAACCTGACCTGATTTCTAAAAAGGAAGTTAACAATTGTTCTCTGTAAAGAATTCCTGTATTCTGAAAAGAAATAGCTACTACAGCATTCATATTAAATTTTCAATTATTAAAAATAATAATCCTTTAAACAGAAATATATATTCTATTTCCCTTATCAATTTATTTTACATCCAATATATTCATGTAGTAGTTACATAACTGTTTTGAATTGTTACTTGGTGTAACATATGCTATACTTAAAAACTCCTTATATCCATTAAAGTAAGAGAGCAAAGTTCAAACAACTGGGCCGCATTAGCATATGTCTTGATTTTCTGATTATAGGAAGATGCATTTACATGCAGTGACATATTCACAAGTGGTATCACAGCCTGTAAACTACTAAATCATTTTACTCTGCTTTATGTGTAGATTGTTTCAGAGAACCATAGTCCTGTAAACATGCTTCAAAATACAAGGCAAATGAATCATATGATGAATGATCCCCCATAACAATTCCATTCCAGTGGAAAATTCACTTTAAATAAAAACTACTCTCATCATTTAATACACAGAGTTGCAACATGACTTTTGATGTTATAGCACAAATATAACATATCCACCTACATTTAGAAAAATAATACTTTAATTCTTCCCGTCTGAATTTAATAAGAATTAAATCGGCTTAATGGTGTACATTGAAATACTGACTCAACCCATTTATTCTGATTTTATTAGAGTGTCAGAGTAGGGAAAATGTGATGCCTATTTACATTCCTAAAGACAAGGGAAAACATGTTGAAAGTAATAAAAGCTATAAAATGTTTAATTTTAAATAATATCTGTGCATCAAATCAACTAGCTAAGAAAAAGAATATCACATGTCATGTACCATTATTTTCCTCAATTAACACACACCCCTTTACAGGATGAACTCAATTTCTGGAATTCCAAGATTAGAGGGCATTTAGGAAATTTAGTCGCTTTTAACACAATAATGAAAGAATGCAGCAACTTTGAGATGCTTGTTCTGTAAAATAAACTTTGTTATGTTCTTTTCTGACTTGTATATTAAAACTCAGACAATGAAATCCTAGAACCAAGGAAATGTGCCTATTATGTTTGTCCTCCAGAACAGTATTTCTCCCTCCTCATCCTCAGGACCCTTAAACGTGGTTTTCCTTCAGGTTTTGAGGTATAGTGGCATTGAGTTCTCTGGAAATTTAGCTGGAATCTTACTCGATGTAATACTTTCAATGCTGTTTTGGAGATCTGGGGAGGGGTTTCTAATATGAATGAATAAATAAACCCTTATTTGAATAATTTCATATTGTACAAAACAAACTACAAGCTCTTCTCTTCTCAATTACAAATCAGATTCACTCAGTTACTCAGACAATTTTTCATCAGCATGTGTGTGTCCAAGCAGGCAGTCATTTTTTGAGGATGCTCTAATTTGGATTGCTGCACAGAGCAGGGAGTTGAACTTGATCCCCCAGATCACTCTTTCAGCTCTATAAATATTCTATAAATATGAATATTATTACAATAGATTTAGTACCATGATCAAATAGGACTCAAATTAGACAGAAATCAACTAATATTTTGCAACTGGATGTTAGAAGTATGAAGCTACAATCAAAATGCTAAACTAAAATATTTAATGAAGATATTTCCCCTACAATAATTTAGATATAACAAATCTCACCCCTGACAAATATCTGTACAATATAACTTCAGGAAAAACAATTCAAAGAAATTCTCTAGTCTTTACTATTGAACTTTATTTCAGTACAGTAGCTGACTAGTATTGGCATGGAAATAGCATACAATTAAGGATTTAAAACTGAAAAATAATTTGAAAATTATAGGTATAATATAACTAAAATGCAGTATGACTATGTTAGAGAAATAAATTATACTAATTTGAAATATGGCACAGCTCAAGAGTAAAAGCCTCTATCCAAAGCTCCCCTGTTGTGCATTTTCAAAAACTGGCTTTAGCCCAAATCACATTATTTTAGCCCTGTAGACTAATTCAGATCCTCAATGAGCAAGTATTCTAAAGTAGATATAAGCAGAATAAGACACTTTATGAAAGGCACAAGCTATTATTCTGTTCACCAAGGAAGTATTTTTTTTTAGGAGCTGTTTTAATGCATCTCTAGTCCTACTTAATTACAGGTATTTCTACATGACAAGTTATTTCATACCCTTAACACTTAAGTGTGCTGGGAATATAAAGAACACCATTTAGTGAACAAATACCACAGCCAGGCAAACACTGATAATTTTCAACTGAGGTCCGCCTCCACAGGTTTGACTGCCCAATTCCTTAAGGCGCCTAATGTTCTGGACTGATCACACGCACCTTTGAAAAGCAGCCACACCTACAATGTCTATTGTGTAACAAATGAGGAAGATGATCGTAAGACCTGGGAAATACCTTGGCTGTATAGAAACAAAAATGACTAGATCAGAAGATGATGGTAACCAAATTATGGTTAGTATTGAAGATTCCAAGCATACTTAATATATGGGGAGGGTATCTATTTGATGTTCAATAATAAACAAGTACAGATGAAGCTCCACTTTACCTTTTACCACCCCACCCCATCTATTTAATGTCTTCATGACAACTCCTCCCACCCTTAAAATAAGGGAAGAAAAAGCACAGCTTGTACCACAAATATTGTAGTTCTTTTTGCCTCAGTTTCAGCAGAAAAGCAAACCATCCCTATGTAAACGTCCCAGAAATCTTGTGTCAAGGATACACTTCTATTGAAACAACTTGTCAACCCCACACAACCACCCCAACTGGTGATGATCTAGCATACACTAATTGCTGCTTCTTTCACCTCTATTATCAGCAGCCCCATTACCTGTAACCTGACACTCCTTCCTCTGCCCACCTCCCTCATAAGCACCCAGGCAGCGTTAAGCCTGTTTTGCCTGTCAAGCTTTCAAGCTGTCAAGGCAAGAAACATTTCTCAACCCAGGGCTCAGAAAACTTCATCCCCCCTAATGGACTACTTTCACCGTTGGGAGACCTGAAATAACAGATGAAGGATGGATCGCCATGGAGAAAATCTATTTGTAGGGCTGCAAGGCGTTGAAAATAATTTGATGGGACACAATCAACCAACGACATACGCATAAGAGCTGTAACCAGTTCCTGCATCTTTACCCTACCTGCCAAATCACTGTTCTGCTTTTACTAGACTACAAGCAGTTTTTGCAGGAGCCTTTTCACCCGGCGCCCAGGTAAATCTCCAATTCCAGTCCCCCAGAAACCCCTTCCCCATCTCACAGGATTCAGGAAGGCTTCACATTAATACCTGGCAAATGTCTACCTGCATCCTTTAAGCCAGGGTTCTCCAACCTTGGCAACTTTAAGCCTGGCGGACTTCAACACCCAGAATCCCCTAGCCAGCAAAGCAAAGCAAAGCTGGCTGGGGAATTCTGGGAGTTGAAGTGCGCCAGGCTTAAAGTTGCCAAGGTTGGAGACCCCTGCTTTAAGCAATCTCTTGATTACCACGAGTCCCATTTAACTGCGCTGCTCCCTCTCGTGTGTCTTTCTCGTCTTCTTACGCCACCTTTTTCTAACTCCACCACGCCTCGCCCCTCCGCAGCCCATGACCCTTGACCTCCGGGGTAAAGCAGGTCAAATGTCAAACATCCATCAAAGGTCACCGTTCTCTTTTCTCCCCAAAATGATGTCCCCTGAAAGATCGCATTCTCTCCTGGTCTCCCAGAAGCCCACTTCAGATTTCGGTGCCTCTTCGCTTACCCACAACGCGCACTCCCCCTTTCTCAGGTCCGGAGCCTTCAATCCGGAAACAGGCGTATGCCCGCCCGGCAGCCATACAAAATGGCGATGAAGCGCACGCCTCCGGTTACTGCGCACGCGCATGATAGCCCCACCCTCTTCCGGTTTGGTGTCTGGAAAACGGAAGAACGTAGAGCTAAGCGGTAGCCATGATAAGGAGGTCAGAGCTGAACGGGAGGGGCTGCGGAAAGAGCGTCGCATAATTGCAGTGACGCGTCCAGTGTTATTTATTCAGTGAAGTTTTGTCACTATGTGCGTATCTCTGCATCACTAGACGGAATACAAACAGCAGGCGTAAGAAGCGTTGCCTAAATCTTGTAGGATGCTTCGTTTATACGCATATCTCGCCAAAATCAAGCAGTTGGGGCAGTGGTGAAATCCATTTTTTTACTACCGAATCTGTGGGCGTGGCCTTGTGGGCGTGGTAGGGGAAGTATACTGCAAAATCCCCATTCCCACCCACTCCAGGGGAAGGATACTGCAAAATCTCCATTCCCACCCCACTGGGTCTAGCCAGAGGTGGTATTTGCTGGATTTCTGAACTACTCAAAATTTCCACTACAGGTTCTCCGAACTGCAAAAAATTTCCGCTACCGGTTCTCCAGAACCTGTTAGAACCTGCTGGATTTCACCCCTGAGTTGGGGTTCATAGAACTCATAAAAAAATCACATAAATAAACCAGCATTTCTGGTGCTGGCTGGGGAATTCTAGGAATTTAGCTTCGCACTTCTCAAAGTTGTCAACTTTATTTAATCCATTTAAAATACCATATTGCAAAAATATTGCAATGTCCTCCTTTCCTTTAAGTTCAGGTAGGTGAGTTGGAGCTACCACGAGTGATGCAGTAGAGAGATTGTTACACAGAAACCTATGTCAACCCTGCAGTTTATTTACCTAGGTCAAGTAAATAAATAAGCCAAATCTTCCTTTTTCAGCAAGCCAATAGTTTAATCCAAAGTGATACTGTTAGCTATAGAGCTATTATACTAGCTAGTGTTTCAGGCAACAGCTTAAATATTTTAAAGATTTTGTTTGATCTTGCTGTGTTTTATGGCATGTGGGTCATTTTATTTAAGATACCTCTTATTTTCCTGCGAACAGCTATGAGCTCCTCTAGAAAGGTCTGGTACAGAAATAATAAGATTGAACCACAGTGAATATTCTACCATTCGTTTGATGTATTCATTTTATTTAGCTTATGGCATATCATACATGGATTTCATCTAGATTAGTAAAACACAATAACATATAAATGTTAAAAAGATCTATATTCAAATATCAATCTCTAACGTTTGAAGGGCAGCACTGTTTATATTTTTTATATTTTTGTAAAAAATCAGTTCCTGGACCAATATATACCGGTATAAAGTATGCCCTCAGCTTACAGCCAGTTACAGTGTCACTTACAGCTTGATATGGGACCCTCCAGTCACATTGAGGGGTGGATACTATGCCCCATTTGTACAGAATGCCATGTAGGATGCAAATTCTATTCAGGATTGTCCAAAGCCTGCCACCTCTTTTTGTGGGTCATTTATATGTTTTCCTACATCTAGGTGTTCAGCGATTGATTTGGCTTTCCATTGGGATCTGATGTTAAAGTTGTTGGGCAGATGTTGTCCAAGTGCCAGTGGGGGCTTCCTGGATTTGAATCGTCCATCTGATAAATGAGGAAGGTCAGCATGCACTGGTAGGAGTTTTATTCATTTTAAGAATTGAATAAAATATTCACTTTAAGAAGTATGGAACACTTTAAACTGCAGCAAAGACCATTCTATCCATATTACTTCTTTTATCACCTGCTGCCACCAAGCCGCTGAAGTCATTGAAATATTCTCTGTACCATTCACTTCCTTTCACATCTGCTTTTCTAATTATAAGCAGTATCCCTAAACAGAAGCCTAGAATATATGCATTAATTAATTCTTACCCATCTTAGCAGTGCTGTGGAGTTGGAGTCGGAGTTGGAGTCGAGGAGTCGGAGTCAATTTTGGGTACCTGGAGTCGGAGTCGGCAAACAATGCACCAACTCCGACTCCTACTAAATTTAGATTGGAATTTTAAAAAAAGCAAGTTTAAATGTCCCAATTCACAAAAAGTTATAATTAATGACTTCTCTACTGTAAGAATAAAGACCAATGCATGCAGTGCCTCACATAACCGCAAAACGAACACGTTAAGTGACCGTGAAGAAGCATGCTTTTCATGTGCTTCACTATACGGCACGCAACGCCCAATTAGGAGCGGCAATACTTATACTTTCCATAGTGTTGTGTTCTGCTGTTACAGGGAACGCAGCACCCATGGGTAACCTAGCCTCTCACTGATAAGGGATTAAGTAAATATGTTTTTTGCAGGACTAGAGACACTTGTATAAGTGAAGGGAATGGAGGGTCAATAGTTCAATAGTTCAAGACTGAAGCTGTAAACCATTGGAAAAACTGCTGTCATTCAGCTAAGGCTATAAAAACTTTTAAACTCCGATTGTTAGCTTAAACTTTAAACATGACTATGGGATTCTACTAGGGAAATCATGTTTTATAATAAATGCCCCTTCCTGGATCCTCCCACTGCCCTATCTTCAGCAGCAGATCAGCACACAAAAAGGAGAAGACAGCAGCTTCTGCCCCAACTACCTCTCTCTCTGCTAGAAGAGCTTAGAACAGCGGTTCTCAACCTGGGGGTCACGACCCCTTTGGGGGTCAAACGGCCATTTCGCAGGGGTCGCCAAAGCCCTCTCTCGCCCCCCCCCAAGCCTTCACTCACCCTCACTCTCTGCTCTGTTGGATCGCCGGCCGTTCGCTTACCCCGCCCACCCCCAATCTATTGCTGCCTCCTGAGTCCCAGCTGATGGCTAGAGGAAAAAAAACTGTTTAAATTCTTGCCGCGGGGCTTCAAAGGGCCGCTCTATAGCCAATGGTGGGATTCTGCCGGAACTGTTTGTTAAATTGCTGGCTTGCCCCGCCCCTCAGCACCACTATTTATTGCCAATAAATAGTGGTGGGCGAGGGGCGGGCGAGCCAGCAATTTAATAAATGGTTCGGTGTTTTTTTGTAATTTTATTGGCCCGCGGAGCTTCAGCATAGGCTAATTAGCCCTTGATTAGATCGGCTCCCGACTCTCAGATGATTTGTCTCAGCTGTTTTGCTCAGGGCTCTGCTGCTTCCTTGCAAAGAGTCCTGGAGCAGATTTTTTTTCCCCTAGCTATGCTGAAAAACAAAACTGAAACTGCTTTGCTGTTGCTGCAAGATTGGAAAATTAGGCAGGCAGATTTCTTTTCTTTTTCCTCACCAAAAAAGGTAGGTGCAAACAATGGGAAATTTAGGGAAAAAGAGGAGAGTTCAAGATTTTAAAACACAAAAGAAAAAAAGCTCTCTTTAACTAGGGAATTGTAATAATTGAGATAGTATTAATTGTATATTTCAATTAATATTTCAAGCAGAAATCGTTTATTATTATTGGTAAATATAATTAATTGATTTGTAAGAAATTGGATTGCATGGAAATAATTGGAATATTCATGTTCATATTGATTAATATACAAAAAAGGTAGTTATATAACTAATTGATTTATATTAAAATGTTGAATTTATATTAAACAACTGTAATATTACATAATTAACCAATGTGAGGATGGATATAAAAATATATGACAATGGGAAGGGGTATAATATAGAATAGAAGGGAAAAATTGAATTTGATTAACATTAGAGATGAGGATGAAGGGTAATATTCCTTCATCCCTCTCTATTGCTGTATCCTTTTATGCATATGGACTACTCAGAGGGCTGAAAAAGTTATTTCTGACTGGTCCTCGCACTTTTGACCAGTCCTCGAACTTACGACTGTCCTCACATTTTACGTTTTTGCCCTAGCTTGTCACCATGGTGAAGAGAAGCAGTTGTGAAATGAGTGACACGGTTGTTAAGAATGCTGCACGGGCATAAATGTGAAGATGGTCATAAGTGTGAGGACCAGTCAAAAGTGCGAGGATCTGTCAGAAATGACTTTTTTCAGCCCTCTGAGTAGTCCCTATACACATAGCCATGGCCACCCGGTCACATGACCAGCTAGCCATGCCCACCCAGTCACATGATCTCCAAGCCATGCCCACAAAATAAGCCACGCCCACAGACCCCCCCTGGTTGGGGGTCACCACAACATGAGGAACTGTATTAATGGGTCGCGGCATTAGGAAGGTTGAGAACCACTGGCTTAGAAGAACTTGGTGGAACAGCTTCTTGGATTCAACTGTAAGTGTTTATATTTATTTTAAAACCTGCATGCCTGCTTGTCTGTATGAGGGAAGACATGTGTACATGTTTCTGGAAGAAACTGTCTATCCTAGGTTTGTAAGTGTGGTGCAGGAATGTATGAATGTTTATGTATAGTGCAGATTGTTTATATGCTCTGAGTACTAAAATGTAGGCTCTGTGTTGTGTGTGTGTGTTCAGTACATGTCTGTGCATGTTTTTCTGTATAGGACAAATCATGTCTAGGTTTAGTGCTGGGATATATAGCTTATTTGTTTGTATAAAGCCATGTACATACAACTTACAGGACTGTGTATGTTGATATTAAAAATTAATTATATGCCAGTTAGTATAACATATTTTATATTTTTATATTTTAGGGAAAGAGGCATCCTAAACAATGGCAAAAAGACTGCTAACAACAAACACGACAAAGTCTACTGTTTATGAGCACTTTGCATTATCAAGTGATGGAAAACATTACGTGTGCCAATGTATTAGAAAAGATGATGGTGAAAAACAATGTGATGCAAAAATTAGCAGTTTCAGTGGGCCTGATAAAAATGCACCTACAAGAGCATCAAATTTGAAAAGACACTTACAGCGTTTTCATCCCAAAGTGTTAGAAGCCGTGAATGAGAAAGATAGCAATGAAAACATTGCATCTACTTCTGTGACAAAAAACGTTCAGAAATCTACTGGAGAACAATCACAAATAAGAAAATTCTTTATATCTGACAAAGTTACCATAAGGATGACACCAGAAAAATTCAAACACCACATTATTGAAATGGTAGTAAAGAATAGTGTACCACTATCCTTCTTTTCACAGACAGCCTTTTTAGGCCTAAATGGAGAAATGGCAAAAAAACTTGGTGTTTCTCTGAATAGAGAAAGTATAAGGAAACTTATAATTGAGGAGGCCAAATGTAAAAAGAAGAACTACAGAAAGTTCTGAAAGGACGTTTTGTCTTCCTTAAAATGGATGCATGCACATGTCACAGTCAATTATTTCGCTATTAATGTTAGATTTGTGGATGAAAATAACAAAACAATAACACGGACCCTCGGATTAAAGGACACTCAGGCACATCACACCAGTGATTACCTTCAGAAGTTAGTGGAAGGTGTTCTAGAAGATTTTGAAATTAAAAAGGAACAGATTTTATGTGTTGTGACAGATCACGCTTCTAACATGTTGAGCACAATTGAGAAGATGAACGCAGATGAAGAAGGTAACAAACAGATATTAGAGTTCGAGGAAGACAGCTCTGCAAGTATTGGAGAAAGTTTAGAAACTGAAGAGAATGCTGACATTTTTTTAGACTACTTTGTTGAAGAAGCACTGAAGCTTGCTACTATTCATCATATGCGATGTGCTGTTCATACACTGCAACTTGCCATAAGAGATGGATTGAAAGATCGCCATGCAGCTACACTAATTGGCAAATTACGGCAAGTAACTGTTGCAGCCAGGGCCCCGAAAACAGATGCAATTTTGAAAAGACGTGCAGGAAAAGCAGCCATTTTGGAACAAACAACTCGCTGGGGAAGCACTTATTTAATGGTGAAGCGTTTGCTTGAACTTAAAGACTTCATAGAAGAAATGGACAATGAAAATCTTGCATTAACTGCAAGCCAGTGGACACAAACAAAAGAGCTGGAGAACCTTCTTTTTCACCCCTTCACTGTCACCAAGAGGTTGCAATGTGACGATCTAACCCCGGGTAAATTCCTCTTGGAATGGAAGAGCCTGTTATATTGCCTGAACAAAAATGGAGGGTTAATAGCTGAGGGCATTGCATCTTCAATGATGAAAAGAGAGAGTCTTTTGCTGGAAAATGAAATCTTGTTAGCGGCTATTTAGGTCGACCCAATGAGCCGACTTTTGTTGAACAGTGAACAGACTGCTACTGGGAAAAAGGCCCTCTATGATGTAGCAGTTCGCATGAAGGGATTACGACCTGAAATACCTCCACAGGAGGATGAAGTTCTTTTAAGCAATAGTGGTAACTCAGGATCATCTTCTTCAAACGAAGAATTAGACTTTGATTCCTTCTTAGACAAAATGGAAGTTGTTAAAGGAAAGCGACGTTGCATAAGCGTTACAGAACCAGTAAATGTCCAAATAAAAAAATTCCAACAGGAGTTTTATAAAGCACTAAAAGAAGTTGAAAAGTATGATCGCTCATCAAAACTTACTGTTGAAGAAGCCATCCTTGTTTATCCAGAGATCGTTAGTGATGTGGCCAGAATAGTTACTGCAATGCCACCCACCCAAGTCAGTGTCGAAAGATTATTTTCAGCCCTAAAAATAATAAAGTCTGACTTAAGAGCGTCTATGAAAGAGGATCTGGCAGAGGCAATTCTCTTCCTTAGAACTCTACATTGAATTGATTTACATTTGCTAAGCCTATAACTACATTTCAAGATTAATATAAACCATTTCTAGGTTTTACAGATTTTGTTTTTGGTTCATATAGATAAGCTTTGTTTTTGTTCTAAAATAACCAAATAATGTGGTTTGTATTTTTGAACTGGTAAAGTTCTTGTTCCTGATGTTTATGCCTGCTGCTACTATCCAGCAACTTGATTAATTAAATTAATAAAAAATAATAATAAAACTTTGTTGTTTTCATTGTGTTTATCTTTTGCTTAAACTGTTCAATACAGTAGACTGTTGGCTTCCCAGCCAGTAGTCCTGTGGTAATGACATGTATGTTGCCTTTCTTTCCTTCAAGGAATGTATAAAATACATTCGCATATTAATACAGAGGAGTCGGAGTCGGGGAGTTGGAGTCGGAGTTGGAGTCGGAAGTACAAAAAACTGAGGAGTCGGAGTCGGAACATTTATCTCCTGACTACACAGCCCTGTTTTAAGGTCAACATTTTAATAACCTCTCTCACAAAATAGGATGCAGACTTTTAAATCATTGGATTGTGTTTTCATTGTTCAACAAAGCTACTTTTTGCATTTTACTGAATTTCTATAGGTACGAGAATTTCTTGGGTTTTATATAGATCATTTGTGGAATAGTATGTTAGTGTGGCTTACAATTTACGGAATTATTTCTTTTTTCTGTTTACACAAGAGAAGAGATTTCATTGCCTGTTGTACTCTCCTAAAACAATTTCACAAAAGCCACTTTATCAATCAAAACATTTCCAACTAGGTCTTACTCTTATTTTTACTTCATAAAATTGCCAACTGGGTCTTAACTCTGCTTCTTAAGGATTCCTGAAAGTTAGTTCTGAAATATTATAAGGTTAATTGACGACTTGTTACCCGACTAGAACTTATGTAGCAAACTGTGAGCCTGTAAATCAGAATGCAGTATTACAGCCTAATTCTGCCAACTGCCAGCCAACTGCTGGCAGTTTGAATCTCACCGGCTCAAGGTTAATTCAGCCTTCCATCTGAGATCGGTAAAATGAGGACCCAGATTGCTGGGGCAATATGCTGACTCTGTAAATGGCTTAGAGCGGGCTGTAAAGCACCATGAAGTGGTATACAAATCTGCTATTGCTATTACTAGCCTATGGTATGTTTGTGGAAGTCATGAAAAACCTATGTAGGAAGACATAACATAATGTAACCTGTATGTCTCTGCTCTGAGAGCTTAAATGTAGATGGCCTACATCTACCATTCTAGAAATAAGTCAAATTTTATAGTATTGCATGTGCTGAATCTTGCTTCAAGAGCATATTTATGAATACTAACAAACATGGAATGTGCAATCTTCCACAATGTGAAACTCTTATCTCCAACAGATGCTAAATTAAAGTGTTAAAACATAAAAGTGTAAATAACCCCCCTCCCCTCCCCAGAAAAACATAACATATAAATCATCTGGGATAAAACTATCAATCACAAGTTAACATAGTCACAAGTTAGCACAATCAACATATGGTTTCAGCTTCATCTCCTGATCCCCACACCTGGTGACAAAATCAAGTCTTGACATGGAGAGTCTAAAGACAATAGAAGAGAGTTTCCATATGAGTATTAGAAGTGCCACAAACCAGTGACTGCTTGCATCTATAAAATGTTAGCCATGAGGGTGTTTATAGTTTTAAGGAAGATAACTGGCTTTTTTGTTTTGGAATTGCTTCCTCCATTAAGGCTCTTTCCATTGTGGCATTTCCATTTAATTTCAGCAATTGCTTTGATGCATCTATACTAAACACAAATATAATCCATCTGTATTGAACACATCATAACGGGATACCAACACACACAAAACTACAAGTATATGCATTTTTGTATAGAACTCTCTGTATTTAATAGTATGTTACAATTTGATTTTTTTTTAAAAAAAGCATTAAGATGCTTGTTACAGTTCAGGGTTTGGATATGTAGACAGCTAACTCTATCCAATAACTTGTTCCTGTCCTAAAAGAACTGGTAAGGATGGCACAGTCCAGTCCCATCTACTAAATGGTGTCATTAGACTTGAGAAGTATGGATTCTCTGCCACTGGCCCTACTATTTGGAACATCATTCCTTTTCTGCCATGTCCTTGAGCTCGCTGTCTTTTAGGAAAATATTACAAACTTAAGATTTCCTTGCCAGTGGTTTGTAAGACTGCTTCATAACATATTTTATCTTATTTTATTATATTTGTTTATTCTGCCTTTATTATTTCATAAGTAACTGAAGTCTGCAGACATATGTAGTAGTCCTTCCTCCCCCTATTTTCCCCACAACAACAACCCAGTGAGGTGAGTTGGGCCCAAATAGATTGATTGGCCCAAAGTTGCCTACCTGGCTTTCATGCCTAAGGCAGGACTAGAACTCAATAGTCTCCTCGTTTTAGCACCATAATCACTACTATTTCCTAGGATGTGGTTTGGGTTTAAAAGGTTTCCTTGTAGTTGATTTTGTATGATGTGTTTTATGATGCATTTTTTCAGTATGTATATAGCCTTACTAGGAAAATAAAATGTTTTAATCCTTATGAAGGCTTTGCTTCTTGAGAGATAGATAATGAAAAGATCAATATAAAATCCAGTATATTTTGCAATGTTTTTATTTCCACCATATGTTTTCTTATCCAATGTTTCTGTAGCAAAATAATAACAACAACAACCAATCATCATAGTAATAATAATAGCTACCAGACCAAAAATAAGCTGCACTTTCTTGGAATGATGCAATGCATCTTATATTCCAGTTTACAGAAGCTTTTTAGGACTATATGTAAGTGAGCTGTCCCTCATTCCAACAGTAGAAAAATCTCCGTATATTGGCCTGATACAACTCTTTTTTTAAAAAAAATGCATGTACAATTCAAGAATGCTTTGTTAAAATATATATATACAACCTATATATAGGTATATACATTATACACACAGACACTAGGACCTGAAGTTCTCACCAGGAGAGAGAAAAAGAAACAAGACCAAGAGATCCTGAAATGAAAATCCCTGAACAAAAAAGCACTAGAGGCAACCCTTATCCCTTACACACCACACATACATTAACCTTTATCAAAGAGGAAATCAGCAAAGCAGAAAAACAATTTTAAAAGTAACAGATTTATTTCCAGCGTCTAGTTCCTTGATAGCTATCAAAATAATGACCAAGCATTAAATATGTTAGAAATGCAACAGAGAGAAATGCAGTACTCAGTTCTAAAAAGAAATTTACTGAGGTTCAAGTATTCCCCTTTAAGCATAAAACTATATTCTGTACAGATATGACGTAGGTTACTCAATAGGTGGGAAATGCACTCTGAGCATGCTGAAGAGCATTCCTGTGGTTAATTCACTCTTTCAGAATGGAACAGATCCCAGAACTTAATACTCAGATTCAAGAACCCAAACTAGAGGCACAACCTTATCATGCAAGAAGTATAGATCTGATTAATATCAAGAGTTCTTATATCTTGTCAATCTCGTAAAACAACTTGTTAAACTTCTCAACAGAACTCTAAAGCTGTTTGCAAAAAATTGGCATCTCTTAAAATAAAACAGGTCTCCAAATTCTTATTTTTATTGCAAATAAGTTAGTCCAGGATACAAACTATCTTCCTAGTTCCGTTCTGTTAGTTGTCATTGTAATTGAACTGAGTGCTTTTGAGCATTATCATGCAATTGAACCCTCGTCCTTTTACAAGTGTGCCTTTTATCATATCATAATCTCCATCTTGATTCTTTTTGGCTCTACATACACACAAGTGTACCTGAACAAGGATTTATTTTCATAATAATTTGGAAGTAGACATTAACAATGTTTTAGTACACCTTAAGTGCACTTTGTTCATAGAGGAAAGGCAGGACAAGGGATAATAGAGGACCATTGTCCTTGCAACGTATTATTTCAATAAATACAGGCAGAAATATCGCCTAATCCTGTATTACCTTGACAATTTATTGCAGTTTTATCCATAGTTAAGATTTAGATCATTAAATCTTTTCCTCTCCAACTGTGTTCCCTTCCCTTTAGGAATCAACTCCTTTGTTACAACAGTTAAGCTTTAAAAAGGCTTCTAGTGCAATCAGTAAAACCTTTTAAACAAGTGTAATTGCTTGATGTGGGGAGAGGGAGGCTGTGGAGGCCACAGGTCATGGAAGGTCCAGTAGTCCAGGTGTTCTCTTTCGCTGCATTATACCTATTTTACAAGACCAAAGGCAAAATTTGTTTTATCTGCCATTACATTTGTGTGCATAGTATGGAGTAATTAAACATGTCTAATGTTCTTACAAATTGTCTCATGAAAGAAAAGGAAAACCTCAACATCCTCTCCTGAGATGAAATGGTAATATCCCATTCTGGTTCTTCACAGTAACTGAAGCTACAGGTACCATATCTGAGCTGCATAAATTCACATGACCAGTAGGTGACACAAAGACTGATCACCCAAGTTTTTGCAGACCAGATTTGGTAGCCTTGCTACCTTCAGCCTTGCTGATGTTGATAACTACAACGACCCTTTTCAGAGCCACTCCAAGAAGAAGGGATAAATTGCTTTGTTCTCCTTCTAAATGTTCAAATATAAATGTATTCAGTTCCTTCAGATGTATTCAATGCCTAGATAGTATCCAGAATCATGGATTGTATCTTTCATGGCTTCCTGAAAAATGTTGATTAAGTTTAGTCAAAGTACTGAAGATCAAGCTGAGTAACAGAATAACAGAGTTGGAGGAGATCTTCTAGTTCAGCACCCTGCTCAAGCAGGCGACCCTATATCATGTCAGACAAATGATTGTCCAATCTCTTCTAAAAACCTCCAGTGATGGAGCACCCAGAGCTTCTGGAGGCAAGTCATTCCACTGATTATTCTTGTCATTGTCAGAAAATTTCTCCTTAGTTCTAGAGGTTGGATTGCTCCTTAATAAGTTTCCATCTGTTATTTCTTGTCCTGTCTTCATAAGTTTTGCAGAATAGGTTGACCCTCTTTTTTGTGTGGCAGCTCCTTAGATATTGGAATCATGTCACTCCCAGTCTTCTCTTTATAAGACTAGATATATTCAGTTCCTGAAATCATTCTTCATATGCTTTAGCCTCCAGTCCCCTAATCATCTTTGTTGTTCTTCTCTGCACTCTTTCTAGAGTCTCTTTTTTATCATGAGGACCAAAACTTGATGCAGTATTCTGAGTGTGATCTTACCAAAGCAGTATAAAGAAGTACTAGCACTTCATGTGATCTTGATACTATCCCCTCTGTTGATGCAGCCTAGGACTATAAAACAGTGATTCTCAGCAGAATGGGAATGGTTCAGGTTAATTAAAATCTGTTGAGTAAACATACTCTATTAATGAAGTACAGCAGATATTATTTTTGTATGCATTTTAAATTTTTAAATTTTCATTATTTTAAATCCCAGAGAATAGAAATCCAGTATATCTATTGTAGCTGGATATTAACAAGATTTTCTCACCTCAATTAAAATTAGATTTTGAAATGCATGGTTATGATTAACAGTCGGGGGAAATCAACCCTGGAGGACTGAGAATCTCCTGGTAATCTTAAAATGCTTCCACAGCAGGCTTTTTCAGAAGGAAATATAAATGTACATTAACGCTATAGAAATATTTTAGTAAGATATTAACTATAAAAAATAAATGCTTTTTGATATTTATGCACATGCTGCCTTTGGCAACTGCTCTTTTACCAATTATTGAGATTGGAAGCTTATTAATTTGATTAAAATATTTGTAATTTTCAAGGATTTGCCACATTTACTTGTGGTGGAGAGGTAAACTTGATCAACAGGGTTCCAATCTCCAGTGAAAACTTCAGTCAAGAAATCCAATTGAATGTGGTCTCCACAAAGCTGTTCCAGCTCTTCTGGACATTTTATTGTCATCTTAAAAATCCTGTAAAAGGGAGGTCATATGGAGCTTCCCCATGAGGCAGTATAAAATGGCCACCTCAGTTGTTAATACAGTATTTTGACTGACAATAAAGGTAACAGCGTTTTTTTTTAAATTGATAGATTGACCAATGGATTGAAACCTTTTGGAAAAATGTCCTGCATATGAATTATTATTAACTGACATGAGGCTTGATAAAGAGTTAAGACACAATTGAATTGCTCCACTATATTATAAAGGAACTAAAAAGGTGCTATTTGGGGTTTTCAGCTCTGACATCAAAGTGGATGGATGAATCTAGCAGGAGAGCTTCCCAGCAGATTGTGTCTCACTTTAATCAGTAAGATTACAAGGTGCCATTAAATTTTCCACCAACGTGCCTTGGGCCAGCCATGACAAAGACTCTTCATCCTTGCCATCTCATGACTCCATACTTGCCTCTACAACTAAGGCAAAGCCTAGGTGGGTCCCCTGTACATCCAAAAAGTGCTCAAGTATCATACAGAGTAAACATTCTTTTTAAACAATGCCTGCATATGGACAGGGATTTCACTGGCTGTTTGACTCCAGCTTGTGAGAGAGTTCAAAGAGCAAATTCTGATTGTCAATAACCTGGAATTGACGGACATAAGCCTTTGTCTGTAGCTGCTGAGGAGATGACTCCATCTCCAAACCTGTGGAAGAAAGGAAGAAGAATATTATTTACGGAACTTTGTCATTACACATACTAGCCTTTACATTTTATGAAATCATGACTTATTTAATAAAGGTTTGTTGAACAAGCTATAGGCTAAGTTCAGACACTATATTAAGCCATAATTTAGTTGTTTGTTTGGCTTAGTGTTCAAACCCATCAACTGTGATTCATAAATTATAATTTATGGCTTACTATAATATATGAACTCAGTTAACCAGGACTTACTGTATAATCTATAGCTAAGCAAATCATAGCATCATATGCTGTATGAATCCAGCTGTAACTACATCTTAGGTTTTGGTATGGTACAATATTGTCTTCTAAAGTATCTGATAAACTAACCTATTCAGAGTATTTAATGGACTGAATTCAGCTTTTATTTCCAGAAGAGCCTCTCGCTATATTCCTATTTATATAGTTACACAGTGGGTGAAAATTAGATTGTGCTCATCGTTCCACAAAAAGGGTTACTAAAATAGTTTGGTCACAAATCAACTTCTAATTTGCAGGATAGATTCAGAACACAAGAGATGAAGTATTTATTTTGGTTCAACAAAGGAGTCCCAGAAAATCAGTACCATCAGTACCACAGAATGGCAGTAGATAGATATCTTCAGATTCTTTGCAGATATTCAGCAACCAACCTAATTTGTAGCCTGCATATTGGAATCTTATCAAAAGAAATTTTAATTTCTTCATATTCCAAGGATATGTTCAAGAAGAAACAAAAGAAAAGAACAGTAAGACGATATATCACTATCCAAACAGTGAACCCAGAGCCAGATCATCTTTTTCCAGTTACGCTCTCTGAGTTTCTTCAAGGTGATAATAATTAATTAGTTTAGCTAGGCTTGTCTATTGATTTTATTTGGAATTCTGTATGTTTAATTGCTGTCTCTTTCTTTCCCATGTTTCCCTTTAGTAGACTCATTTTTGTATGTAGAAAATTGCTTCCTTGGTTTAATAGGATAAATTCTCATTACAAGTACACATACAAGACTGTATAATATTGCAATTGCCTCTTGTGTTCCAAGATTGGTAAAACAATTATTAAAAGATTTAGCCAGGATGACTCAAAGTAGCTTTCAATTTTCTATATGACTAGGTCAAATGGAAAATTCTTAATAGAAGAGTTAAGACTGCTTTATATAAACTATGATGAGTCAGCCTAGCTAGTATTCTACAGTATAACTGCCGTTTATGATGGAAACTTTGGAAGAAGGGAGATTTTAAATTATCTGCTCTCCCTAGCCAAGTGAGCAAAACGTAATAGTCATACAATACAGTTCATCCTTAAACTATCCAGCAACCATGGTTTTGCAGCTGTGCTACTCAGAGGAGGAGGTAGCAGTCTAAGCAGGTGGCTCCTCTAATGCCAGTTATGTACTATGACCTAAAGTGGCAGATGAATCAAACTAATACCTGGATACATTTGCTACAAAAAAACCCCACACCACCACAATAAAATTTAGAGGTTCAGCTAATTATTTAAATAAAACTCAGCAGATCACAATGATATATGGATCAGTTTAAAATTCTATATTATTTATTTAGATATTGTGCTTCTTCCATGTGCTGCTAAATATCTCATAGCTGTCGATACTAAAACCACATGTAAATAGCCCCATTTGTGATATAAATACTTACAGAGAGGTCGACTTCGGCATTTCCTGATAGTGCGTACTTTTTCTGCAACTGAATGCTGCAAAAGAGAATAGAAACACATCTAAATAGAACACATCTAAATTTTGATCATATAAAAGTATATTGACCATAATTCATTAGTAAACAGCTAAAGTTTATAAGCAGAAAGTATATTGAAATTGTACTGTTTTTCCAACTTCATATTTATTTATTTATTGGTTCGATTTATATGCCGCCCTTCTCCAGAGACTCAAGGCGGCTTACAATGCGTTAAGCATTGAGGAAGTTCATAGAGGAGGTTTGTTTAGTGGGTACCTCTCCCTCGCACATTTGATAAATCTTTTTTTGAAGAAGGCCGTTAGATCCAGGAAATGGTGGGTTTTATTTACAAAAGGCACTAAAGAAAATAAATTACCTAAGCCCTTTTAAGTTAAGGTTTGAGCCAGTGTTTAATACAGTGTAGAAACCACATTGATCACACTTGTAGATGAACTGGTTGAGGAGATACAACCATCCTAAATTTTCTTGCCCTTTCAATAACATTGATCATGGTATCCTTCTGCAAAGAGTGGGAAATAGTGTTATGGTGATTCTTCTCCTTTCTCCATGGCCAGTTTCAGAAATCGTGGGAAGAGAACAGTCAAGCCCATGATCTATGGGAAGCCATAGGCTCATACTTCTTTTATTTAACATCTAAATAAAGCTGCTGGGTTAGGCCATCAGCTGTTTTGGGTCAATATCATCAATATGCTGATTTGGCCAGCCCAGGGAGGGCATGTATGCTAATGATACTGTTATACATCCCCTCACTGGGCTGGCCAAATGATGCTGTTGAAGTCCTCCCAATATCTGAAGGCTGCGAGAGTTTTGTGCATAATTTCAGGATCCTCCTTGACTCAAGGATCTGCTTGAAGAACAGATGGCAGCTTTGGCCAGGAAAACCTTCACATTGGATGAATCAATTATACCTTTTCTCAAATAGGAGTCCTTTCTTATAGTCCCTCATGGCTTGGTGATCTCAAAATGGATTCTGCAGTACACTTTATATTGGACTACCCTTGAAAATGATTCAGAAATTACGGATGGTACAAAATACAGTGGCACAAGCGGTGGCAAGTCAGCCATGACATGCCCCTTGAACTGCACTGGATATTCCTCAGCTTCTGAGTGACATTTAAGGTTATGGTTGACATTTTTAAAGATCTAGATGTCATAGGGCCTAGTTATCTGTTTCATGGGATTTCTGCCTGCCCTGTAAGATCTAGCAGACTTATCTTATTCCTGATTCCATCAATCAAGCAATACCAGATTCTAGCAGGACCCGGGAGATAGGCTTTCTCTGTTGCAGGAGTTGTTTGTCTGCAACAGCATTCTTCCTGTGATTTGCATGAATCCAACCTTATGGCCTTTTAAAACAGCATTAAAAACAGCTCTTTCCCCAAACCATGGGTTAGGTTGATCAGTGGTGGTAGGAGCCTTTTATGTCTATCGTTGAGAGAGAATTTAATATACCTCCAGATATTGATATTTGGAGGGATTTATTTTTTTTATTAATATTTTTATATATTAAGCTGCTCAGAATTTTTAAATATAAATTAATCCATTATTTTCAGTAGAGGTAAGATTCAAGGCTTGAGTATAACCTTCAAAGGTACATTTACCTACTAAATCATAATGATCTTTGTAATGCCATATTAACAAACCTATGAATAGTACAATGAAGCAAACCGCATAATATATATTTTTTCTTACCCACAGAGGGATGCTGAATGGGATGCACTTTTTCACCAGCAGAGGGAGAGTTCTACCAACAAATCAGGGCAGCCCTATTGACTCCAGAATATCTATCCTCTTATCTTTTGTTTGTTTAACATACAGCTGGCTTTTCCTATCAGATTGAACCACTCTCATTTTCAGGACTCATTAGAAGGTTTTGTTAAGAACCATAACCAAGCAAGGGTTTGCGGGACTTAAAATTACTTTATTAAAGAAATCTTTTGTCAACCATATGTTTTTTGTGAGGAAAATAAGAGGAAAGAGGAGAATTGGTATTATTTCTGCCTTGAATTGTATATGAAAAAAGAGGAAATAAATTTTTTAAAAGAGCTTCATCAATTTACATATAAGATAAAGACTTTATTAAAAATGATTGCTGACCTGCTGCAGCAAGAATCATATTGGAATGCTGTTTTTAAAATTCTATTTTTGTAGTATCGATTGATGAAATGGAAAATAGGTAAAGAGAAAGGAACTCTATTTCTCTGTTAACAAAAAAAAATACTATTGATTGCTGGTAAAATGTAACTAACCCTCAAGTAAAGCACTATGTAGGGTTAATTAACAGCATTTTCATATTATAGACCTTAACACATACAGTAACTAACAAATGTTAGTTATGGCATAAGATTTTGTGAGCTACATTAGATGCACAGAAGTGTAGGATTTAATTTGGGGAAAGAGAGGGGAAGACAATTGGTTATGCAGATTAAATATGAGACAGATTATCTATTAATCATTGTAATATTCTTGATAAGATTTTGAGATAGATTGAAACCTTTTGATGTATATAAGCTTTCAGCAATCTCTCATTCAATTACACTGTTAAATTCTCTTTTCAAACACGGAGGACATTCTTTTGCCTGTTTTTTTTGGGGGGGGGGGGGAAGACTTTTAACTTTTAGCTTGATAGAAAGTGGTCAGCACACATTTAAAACTCTTAAAAGTCTGCAGTTTATTATTTTCAAAAAGTACTTTTCTTTGTCCAATCTATTAGTAAGTTCCTCATGGGGTTTCAGAGGAGCTCTATAACTCTGCATAACTCCATCATTTTTCAAAGTTCTCATTTGTTCTTCTGTTTCACAGAAGCCTATGAATCCCATAGAAAGGCAATTTTTTTCCCTCCAAGCTCAGTTCCTGCTGTTTTCACAGACCCATCCATATTGGAGGTGTTTTTATTTTTAGCAACAATATGGGGGTGGTTTGCTACCGCTTTCTTCTAAGATGTTTGTTTGATTTTCCAATTTAGCCCACAACCATAGGGTCTCTTGAGTACTAAGACCTTTTTTATTTTTTTCCCGGAAGAGCCAAGATCATTTTTCTCATTCATAATAACTTGTTCCTCTTTTTTTCCTAAAACTCCTGAAATGCCATCTAAGATGCATGCTGTTAAAAATGGCCAAAAGCAACTGAGAGAGAGAGAGAGAGAGAGAGAGAGAGAGAGAGAGAGAGAGAGAGATCTCCATATTCTGCTGAGCATGTTCTTTTGGATAAACAGGCTTGTTGGAAATACATTATATGAATAATTAGAGAACTTTTCTTTCAGTAATTGGAAAGAGATGAATGCCCAGCATCCAAATAATTCTGCATTTCACACAATGCACATTTAGGCCAGAGGCTGAGGGTGAGGTCATAAGAAAAACTAGGGCTTCACTGACCAAGATGTACTTTGTTTATATAGCACCACTATCACCTCCGTCTCCTCTTCCCCAGGGACTAGAAAATCCGGGCCAACTCGGGCACTGAACACATCTCCCTCACACATGCACATTCGTCTCTTAACAAGGAGAGCTGCAGGAGCTTCTGCAAAACTGTTGCCATGGTAACTCCACTGTCCCACTGAGCTAGACACTGTACAGAGGACTCACCCCTAGATAATCTCCCCGGGGCAGAGGGGAGATGCAGGAGGGGAGGGGACCAGAGTCCTCCCATCCTCCCACTGTCAGACTGCATTTGCTCAGCCTTGCTAGAGGCTAAAGTCAACCATTCCTACTCTTCCCCAGTCCTACACCAGGGACCAAAATAACGCTGAGTGTTTCTTGCAACTCGTTACATCCTAGCATGGTGAGCAGCCTCAGCAGGAAAGGAAAGGCTGAAAAAGATGAGCTCTGAGGCAGAAAATTAGAACAGCTCTAGCCTCCAGCATCTGTTTTTCCTTATGCCTTTGCAACAGAGAAAAGACTTTTGGGCTTATTACGCAGCTGAACAATAAACCTGTATGCCTTTTGGCATGGGATGGGGTTGGGGGTGGAAGGGATTTTTTTCTGGGTAAACTATACAGGAAATAGACTAACCCCTCCTCCTTCCCAGAACTCTGTCATCTCTGCTAGACCCTCATTTTCTCTGCACTTCTTAAAAATATTTTGAAAAGCAGCCCCAGATCTTTACTTTGGACAACAAATGCTTTGGGGGTGGGGGGGTCACCATATTGTGCCAGAAATCTGTAAATCTGACCAGTGTGGCCTGGTATAAATACCAAAGGCCCAGCCATCTTCCCTGGGCCAATCAAAAGAGCAAAGCCCTCTGCCCAAAGCATTTCTACTCCAGGTCAGGCTATTGACCTTGAGGATTCTGACACACAGAATCATCCATAATGAGACAATTCCTACTTTGTCACACATCGTCCCTGAAGCCCCCTGCTTGCTTTCTTCCCTCTATTTTGTAGCTGGGGAAAATTTCAGGGGAATTATTGAACAATGTTCTTAAAGTGTGATGCTAACATTCCAATCTTTAAGTTCCCGTTAGTGCTATAGATTGTTCTTTTTCAGGAGATACATTTTTCCCCCTACTGCCCCATCTTTTTAGAAAAATAAAGCTGTTTCTTCCATATATGCTCCACATATTTTTCCCCTGCCCACCATTTCTCCCTTCACCTTCTTCCCCTGGAATAGTATAAGGTCTTAGAGCTTGTGATGAATAAAAAATAGCACACAAAAAATACAATTTCTGTTTAAAACTGCTGCTGTCATCTATAATAATAAAAATAATTTTAATGATGGGGGAATTAGAATTTGTCATTTCAAATTATGGGATTTGCCCTCCACCAAGAAACTGTTGGGAAAGTTTTGATAAAATAAATTCAAATCCATTATTTCTGCAGAAAACACCCCTGTTCAGGCATTATTACATCCAGAACACTCAGAGCAATACCTTCCTGCATGTATTCTTCCTTCAGCATAACAGGAAGAAAGCTTATATATGAGAATCAGTTTGGTCTAGTGGTTAAGGTGATGGCCTAGAAATTAGGACACTGAGTTTAGACCCACTTTAGGCCTGATAGCCAGCTGGGAGACTGGCCTGTCACCCTCTCCCAGCCAGCCCACCTCACAGGGTTATTGTAATGGTGAGGAAAAAGAGGACAACAAAGGAGTATTATGTATGTTTGCAACCTTGAGTTACTTACTTACTTACTTACTTACTTACTTACTTACTTACTTACTTATTTTTGTCAAGCATGTATTTTATGACACATACAAGTGTAAACATAATTATAAATACATGAAAAGGATACGAATAAAAGAAAACATTAGGACAGGGATGGTAGGCACGCTGGTGCGCTTATGCACGCCCCTTACAGACCTTGTAGGAATGGGGTGAGGTCTACAGTAGACAGTCTAAGGTTAAAGTTTTGAGGACTTGGGGAAGAAACCACAGTCAGGTAGTGCATTTCAGGCGTTGACAACTCTGTTACTAAAGTCGTATTTTCTGCAGTCTAATTTGGATCGGTTTACCATGAGTTTGTATTTATTGGGTGCTCTTGTATTATTTTGGTTGAAGCTGAAGTATTCATTAGCTGATAGGACATTGTAGCAGATGATTTTATTTACTATGCTTAGATCAGACTGAAGACGGTGAAGACGGTGAAGTTCTAAAATGTCTAAGCCCAAAATTTGGAGTCTGGTGGCATAAGGTATTTTGTTGCGAGCAACAAAATACCTTATTTTAATAATATAATAAAATAAAATAAAATATAAGGTATTCGAGGAGCCATCTCACCTTGATGGGACTCTTGCCTCACTTATTCCAATGGAAATGACCTACTTCAGATCCCAAAGAATTTTGACTGGGGAGGTCCAGAAGAAGAGCCTTTTCAGCTGTGGCTCCCACCCTCTGAAATATCCTCCTGTTGGAAATGTTAGATCCACCTACACACTCTTAGCCTTCCAGAAGAGCTTGAAAAGTTGGTTCTGCCACTTGATCTGGGGCCCCAACAGAGCTCTTCCACATTGAAATGGCTGAATGGGTAGGGAAGATTCCTACCCCAAGATTGCCACTGTGTTGGTTTTTAATTTTTTTCTTTAATTCCTCTAATTATAATTATCTTGTAGGACTCTTCCACTTTTTATCATATTATAAACTGCCCAGAGTCGCTGTATCAATAAAATGGACAGCATAAAAATTTAACAAATAAATAAAGGCAGGATAAAATTATATTAATAAATTTAATGTGTATACTGAACTAGAAACTCACTTGTGCCTAGCTGTGCATACAACTATACACATGTGAGTTTCCATATGGGGAGGCGGGGAATCTGCATTACAGGCTATCCCCTGCTTTGTCCCTGCAGCTGCAGGGAACAGGCAATGGTTATAGGAAGCTGATGTCATTTCAGAGATGTCAGTAGGGGATAGGATTCAACCAGCACGCTCACATGGTAAGTGTTTTATGTTGAAGAGTGCTTGAATGGAGCTAATTCAAGAGGCCATCTGTGCACAGCGCAACCTCTTTTCTCTCCCCAATTGCAAAGGCTAAACCTAGGCTTCTTTTCCTGAAGGAAAAGGGGCACAGGAAACCTATACATAAATGCACAGGTATGGATGCTAAGTTACCACCTTATGCGCTGTCTGCCATGTCACCTTTTATAGCTGTAAAATTCTTCTGAATTGTTCAACATTGTAGGTTAATATTTTTAATTATACCTTAAAACAAATGAACAAAAAATCTTCTTTGTTTTTATAATAGTGTAAAGAGGATATTGCAAAATAAATGAGTATAATATACAGCAGCACCTAAGATTTTTTTTAGCTATGTGTGAAATTGACTGTGTGCTTGTATCTGTGAAGGAGAGAAATCACACAAGTGATGTCTAGTGTAATAATTAAGTTGCAAATGCATCACAGCTTTGAATGTGAGCTCTTGGAAGGAACACAGCTTGGTGACAAAGCATTTGTTTTGCATGCAAAATGTTTTGAGATCAAGTTTCATATAGGACTCAAAATCTTATCCTCACCTGAAAAACCATTGACAATCATGTTGATAATTTCAGTCTAAACAGACCAGCAATAAATCAGATTACAAACCTGAAATGTCTTTCATTTTTCTGTACTGGATGCTAAAATAAGTGAAATAATTTTGTCCCAGTAAAAAAATGAAACAGGTTTTAATTTGAAGGAATTTT